GGACTGTCCCTATAAAATCGGGACATCTGGTCACCCTAGCTGGGGACGAGAGCCAGACTGGGCTGGGGCTAGATACGGGCTCTGGGAACCAGGCGTGGGCCAAGCTCAATGTGGGTTTTGAGGGCCCAGTAAGGGCTGAGCATGGGACATTAGAGGCAGGCTGGGTTGGGCAGGGGTTAGATATAGGCCCTGGGAACTAGGGCTGGGAATGGGCTGTGAGGGGCATTAGTTGGCTGAGCCTGCACCAGGTGTGAGTCTTGTGGCCGAGTATAGGCAGGCTGGAGTGGATCTGGGCTGAGCCAGGTCCAGGCCCTAAGGGCTTGGTTCAGGTTTGACGTACCTCTGTGTCCCTGGATTCAAAGGAGGTCACTCATTTTAGTCCCAAAGTTCCCAGTGTCCCACATCCCTTTTGTGGTGTTTCCCCCGGCAGCCTTTCTCACTATTGTCCAGCTTTTCATCTGTCAAATTAAATTAAAGTGTCAATCAAAGTTCTTTAGAAAGGGGGTATCGTTATCCTCACTTTACTGCTGGGTAAACTGAGGTAAGTAGCTGTGAAGTGACTTACCCCAGGTTACACTGTGGGCCATGGAGTCTAGGTCTGCTGTGTCTCACTTCAGTGCCCTATCTGAATCATTAACATCAGAAATTTAGACTCCTGTAGCTGAGGCTCTAGGCAGAGTCACTCGCACCAAAGGAATCACTCCTACGCCACTATGCATTTGCTGCATGTATAATTTTGTCTCCGTTTTTGACTTTGTCATAGATTGCATCCCACATTTGGGCCTTGGCAGGCTGAGAGGTAGGGGGCTGGGTGCCAGGCTCAGGACCACGTATAGATCGGATACCAGGTCTGTAAGCGGTGGCTAAGGACATCAGCACTGGACCCTTACAGTCTTCCTCCCCTGTTTTCTTATCCTACATTGTGTTCCAATGGAAATGAATTGAGCAGCTTCATCCTTTGTCTGGGAGGAGAGGAGAAAACACCCCAGAATAAGTTCATCTCCGATGTAGCAGGCATAGGGTGGGTCATGCTGCAACTGCATTTGCAGAGATGTAGGGAAGTCTGCACAGCACTAAATTGTACCAGAACTGGTTCCAAAAAGGACAATATGCACTCACAAGTCCTTCCAAAATAAGTCTCCCAATCAACCAGTTGGCCCACCACTCGTCGCCACAGGCCAGATCCACTGGAGAAGCCCAGAAAAATACTTAGGCTTTGCAGCGTGGTCTGATAGTCAACAAATTCAGGCACTATTGTATCAAGGGGGAGTGAATTCTCAGAATTAAGCATCCCTTTGTGGAAGCCTAAATACCAAGGTGGTGGGCACCCTAGAAATAACATCAACTATACAGCTAGAAACGACCTTGCTGCTAGCATCTTCTTGTTTAAAGCTGCAGGGTGTAATTAGTGATTCAGTATCTGCTATGAATGTCTCAGCTGCTTTTTATAACATTCATAAAACAATTTCAGATCTTTATCATCTGAGATTCACTGTTTGGATTTGTTAGTTGTGTATGGTTAAAGCTTCCAAGCAATTGCTCAAGTTCTCAAAATTCGGGTAGGTTGATGCATGCCACATGTAATGTAAAAAGACCGAGAAAATAAGAAATGAACGTTGGTCCTCAGTCTGCTGATTTCTATATAAATAGGAACATTACCTTTGTTGCAATTGCTTGAGAATGTTTAGGCTGAAAATTCATCTCTTGTTTAATTCCATTGAAGCCATTTATGTTGTGCCCTACAAATCTAAATGCACCAAGAATTGGAGTATAACGTACATGTGACCTTTGTCATCCCAAACTACTAATGCTTTCACTGTCACTTTTCAAGACCTCGACAACATGCCTCAGTGTTGTTTCTTTTAGGTTTCTCTTACTTTCCTTATATCAGGGGGTAGCCGTGTTAGTCTGTATCTACAAAAACAACAAGGAGTCTGGTGGCACTTTAAAGACTAACAGATTTATTTGGGCATAAGCTTTCGTGGGTAAAAACCTCACTCACATTTAAAAAAAACAGTTTAGATCTGCTTACAGGTATAAGAGACAGGCCCAACCCAGCTCCCTGGTTCAAATCCTTTGACCTTTGGAGTTCTCAGCTTCATTACTCAAGCAGCTCTCTGTAACAGATTAATTGGAAAAACTGGCCCCACCAAACTTTGGAGAATTCCAGAGCTAGATCCCAAGCTAGAGCTGAACGTCACAGTTCAAGCCCATCTCTATATGTAAGCTGTGAGGAGTCCTTAATGTTTGTGAAGTGCTATTGATGTTGAGCATTATTACTGAATGTCAAATCCACTTAATGCTTTAATTATAGTTTTTTTCCCTAGTTAAACTGAAAAATCTTACACGTATCCCTGCAAACAGCTGTATTTTGTTCTATTTTTCTGGCTTTCAGCTGTTGACACATTGCGTCACTGTTTGGACATGTCCTTGTACAGTTTTGGGATAGAGCCCATATCCTGCCATGCCTAGAACAAAGATCTAAAATTTGTCTCGCAGCACTCTCTTATCAAGGAAAACTGACAGTATTCTACAGGAATGATGCAAACCACTCCATCATACTGCAGTCATAGATCAAAGGTGCTGAAGTATTGTACTTAATACATGGAGCAGAAAACTCTGGGATTTGTAAAGACATCCTTGCAATGCTAATCTGAGCTCCCTTCTGTTAAGTGCTTTTGATGCAGCTGCACCTTGAATACAATTCCTTAGAGCCTTCTCTGTGTGAATTAAATTTCCATATTCCTCCCAAATACCTGCCAATCGTGTGCTGACTCTTCTTAAGGCTGTTTCTCAAATCACGTGAAAGAAAAAACTCTGTTAGAGTCTATCCATACTGCAGTCAAAACCATCCAAGTGACATTCGTGTTTCAACACCATTGTTGTAGCAGAGTTTTAAAGCTTCATCTACACAGAGTCAGGGACCTAGTTACAACATGATTTTAGTTTGTAGCATAGATGCAATGTTAAGTGTCCTCCACAACCATGCTAAACCCTCAGGCATATCCATGGGCACATGGGTCTTGAAAACCTTGAAGCAGATCCCCTGCTTTGCTCCTATTTGCAGTGTCAACAGGTCTTGAGAACCCTGTTATAAACACATGCTAATACTCTCTCCCACTTGAGAGACTACGCTACACATATTTACCAAGTTGGTAACCAGGTTGTAGTATGGCTGAGCCTGCACTTGACTTGAGTGCGTTCACAACATGCGTCATATACAGATCCTAGCAGTGTGGTTGTGAACCTTTCTGTAACTGTATAATCACATAATAATGCAATAGTATTATGAAGGAAATAACTTAGATCACTGTCAGTGATGCTCCCTAGGTAACGGCTGCGGTAGTATGGGAAAGCTACCCAGGTTTCCCCCCAGAACGTACAGATGCAAGCATGGCTGTGCTGCATGGTAGGTACAGAGAGGCCAACTCCGCTGACATGAGGTTGTGGGGGGAAATGGTGCTG